GGCCCATAGGGAATCCATCTCAGTAGTACAATGTCACACTCATCATTGAGAGTGTTCAGAGGAGAATTTGGGAACACAGAGAGTTGTTATGATTCCAATACCAACATTTTGACTACATAATGACAGAGAAAGAAAGGGTTTGGAACATGTTAGGATACATGGGACTTTGGTTGTGAGTCATAGGCCAGTTTGGAAAAGCGGGCCTGTGAAAATAGGAGCAATTTACAGCAAAGCTTCAGGCTACTTAGGAAGACTCATGGCTTCCCTGCAAATTTCTGATGTTGGCAAAGCTATTTAATAATTTAGGAAAGAAGAGATAACACTAGAACCTGCCAAGAAGATGTCCAGTCTAGGCTGCTCACCACAGGTCAGACTTGGGATCCCAGTAAGCAAGGCCTGGGCCTGAAATGAAACAGATTCCCTGTCCTGGTCAGACAGCTCCACAGGTCCAAGTCCGGGCCCTCTTAGCCCATACTCACTAGTTCACTTCTGTTTGGTGGTGGTGGTACCTGCCAGCTACTGTTTGATACCTAATAGTTCCTAGTATATTTAGGCCTGAAATAAAAGAGTTCCTCCCCACCTGCCCCAAGCCTCTGTGAAGCAGAACCACCCACACATTGCCTCTGACTGTAAATGGTATGAACAATTGCTCACCAGTGGGAAACTTGACCTCATTCTTTTAAATATTGAAGTTGAGAAACAAGGGAGGGGCGGAAGGCATGAATTATTCTGTCACCAAGAGAAAAAGAGCCCAGGAGATTTCCCATGTCCCTCCCTGAAACCCAAACCTCCTCCACTACCACTTAACCCCAGCCTAGGCTGGGGCAGTTTGATTAGAGAGACAAAAGACTGTCACCACCATTTCCTCCACCAGTGCACCATTTCTCTAAGTTGTTGAAACCACTGGAGAATGAAAAAGAAAGAAGATAAGAGATCCATGAAACAGGAATTCAAACAAGGAGAAAACCAGGCCAGGCACGGTGGCTCATGCCTGTAATCCCAGCACTTCAAGAGGCCAAGGCGGGTGGATCATTTGATGTTAGCAGTTTGAGACCAGCCTGATCAACATAGTGAAACCTTGTCTCTACTAAAAATACACAAATTAGCTGGGAGTTGTAGTGCATGCCTGTAATCTCAGCTACTTGGGAAGCTGAGGCAGGAAAATCGCTTGAACCCAGGAGGCAGAGGTTGTAGTGAGCTGTGATTGCACCACTGCATTCCAACCTGGGCAACCAAGCAAGACTTCATCTCAAAAAAAAAAAAGAAGAAAACAATTCCCAGAAGGGAGCTGGTCCTCTGGCCTAGAGAGCTGAGGATCCCCAAAAGCTCTGACAAAAAGAGAATAGGTTTCTCCAAAAAGAATGTCTCTAAGAAAAAAGACAATCAATTCGCTGATGCTCTTGGTCTTCTAAAAGAGTCTACTGTGAGGCTATTAGAAGGTGGAAAAAGCTAGCAGTAACTTTCAAGAAAACCAGATAAATGAAAGTAAAATAAAATGATTAGCAAGAGGAGAAATGAAAAATAAAATAGGAAATATGATAGTAAACTACAACACTCGGGTGTGAATAATGTTTGCATAGAAATCATAATGTAACCACTAAACATTGCTCTAACTAAAATTTAGAATATAATGATATTGAAGGGAGAATGGTGGAGTGTCCTGGAAGAGGAAGTCAACAGATAATGCCTAAAATGTTGAATCGAAAGGTAGTGATATGCAGTACACATATTATTTCAAAATGCAAGATGTAAGAAGAAATAGTTAAAAGCTAATGTATTAATAGTTGTTTCAGAGAAGAGAGACTGGGCATCAGGGAGGAATGGACTACTGCTCCAGGGCATAAGCCTTTTAATGCCAATTGACTTTAGAAACATATCGTGTATTACTATGACAAGATAAAAATTAACTTAGCAAAGAAACAATAAGAGGTAAAGAAATGAAGGTAACATGTATAGACAAATCTCTCTGGAAGCTTGGCAACAAAAGTGATGAGAAAGGTCCTGAGGTAAGGTGGGAAATGTGCATCCAGGTACTTCTGCCCTTTCCCGTGTTAAAGCAAACAGAGAAGTTTCTGTTTGCTTTAAAACAGAACCTTCTCTGTTTGCTTTAACACGGGAAAGGGCAGAAGTACCTGATGCTGACACAAAATCTCCCATAGAGCGCTCAGGTTAGAAATGCAGAAGAGAGAGGCAAGCACCAGAGCAGGGAATGGAGAATGGGGATTTGGGCGGGATTCAAAGCCAAGGCAAAAGATTGGCCTTTGACAGGAGGCTGGAAGGAACAGCATCCATTCATTCCTGAAGAAAGTGAGAGAGGTTGCTTGGCAGAGAAAGGCAGGTGTGTGGGTTTTGTGGTCAGAAGATAAGCGTGGGCATGTCTGAGTCTCAACATGCTATGTGAAGTATGTGCAAGAATATCTCTGAGGAGTGTAAGGGCAGGGTAGCTGAGGGGAGACACCTTGAGGAGGCTGCCACAAGCCTTTCCTCTTGTGCACCGCTCCTCCTCCGCCAAGGCCTCTTGTGCCCAATAATCAGGAAGTATCCCAGAGTGCAGGGGAACAGGCAGTCATGGGACTGGCTTTTCCCAGTGCCTTGACCAAGCTGAGGATAGAGACAAAAACAAGACTGCCAAGAACCAGGACCCAGAGACCAAGATGGGAAAATAAAAGAGTGAAACACAGTTCCGTAGTGAGCGTGACAGAGAGCAGAAAGGCCACTTATGCAAAGGAGCCAGGTCAGGAGATCACTATTTCAGAGATTGAGAATCACACCTGAAGGAAGGAGGAATGAGACGCATGGAACCAACTAATTGGAAGGTGGAGGCAAGAGATGAAATGAGTCCTTCCTGCCTGTCGACCCTGGCCTGGCTACAGGCAACACGGACAATTGCAACTGAGGAACTGAGTCCCAAAAAGGAAGGGGTGGAGACAAAAGAAATAGAAACCAAGGGTGGGAACAGCAAGAGATCAAAAGAATAAAGAGTCAGAGAAGAGATATAGAGAGATATCAGAAAAATGAGCAGACGAAATAGAAAGTCAGTGAGAGTGAGAGAGAGATGAAGCCAGCTTGTAGGTATAAGTCTCTCTCTCATTCACACACACATATACTTATATACTCTATACACAGTGTTTCTTCACAGCAAACTCTTAAGAAACAAGGGCAATGAGAAAAACATATGAAGCAATTGGAGTTTCTCAATCAAGCTGCAGGGTTCCCCATGTTCATTATACTCTTTCCCTACCCATGGAGGCAGATCCCAAGGCAAAATTGAGCACACCTCTTCATCCTCCTGCTTCCAGGCCTTCTTTTTGACAAAGGCAGGAGCTCCAACCGCAGTCCATCCTGTAAGGACCCTTTGAAATGATCCCCAGGCTCCCACAAGGGTCACCATCTTCTCCTTGACACTTTGGTCAGTTTTGATGGAGTTAGTACATGGAGTTGGTAAGCTTAAAGGTCCTCTTGAGACAGGGACTCCTGTGGCTATTTTGGAGGTATCTATCTCTGCTGCTAGAGACTGTCTTTTCTCAAGAGTATTGTCACAAGGCCTTTGTAAATCAGAAAGTATCTGAGACAGATCTCAATTTAGAAAGTGTATTTTGCCAAGGTTAAGGACGTGCCCATGACGCAGCCACAGGGGTCCTGAGGACGTATGCCTGAGGTGGTCAGGGCACAGCTTGGCTTTAAACATTTTAGGGAGACATGAGACACCAATCAATATATGTAACAAGTACGCTGGTTCAGTCCAGAAAAGTGGGACAACTCAAAGCAGGGGAGAGTTACCAGGTCGCAGGTAGATAAGACACAAACGGTTGCATTATTTTTAGTTTCTGATCAGCCTTTCACTGAATACACAACTTACAGGAATAGTCATTGATGCCTTAGTCTAGCTTAGTGAAATAATGGGGCAAGGGAAGCAATCAGATATGCATTTGTGTCATGTGAACAGAGGGATGACTTTGAATTCTGTTTTTGGTCCACAAGGAATTTTCCTGTGGGAAAACTGTGATGGAGGTATGTAGCTTTTTCACCTTTGTAGCTATCTTATTTAGGAGCAGACTGGGAGGCAGCTTTGCCCGCAGTACACAGTTTGACCTTTCCCTTTGGCTCAGTGATTTGGGGGAACTGAGATTTATTTTTCTTTCACATTTCCTCACTTTTCTTTTTAAAAATCTTTCACGGAAAGCATTTTAAAGGAAAATGAGTGTTTGGTCTCAGGTTTTGTCTGATCTCTCATGGCTAGGATGGTTTGGGGTAGGTCCCACAGTATTAGGAAAGCTCATTTTTAGCAGGTTGTAAGGTCAGACCTCCTGTGAAGGGGAAATGGGAGAGGAAGGTAGAAAAACAACAACAAACAATGAAGAACAATCCTGGAAAATTGATACAGGCCATATTACTCTGAAGTCCGTACATCAGTAGGCAGGTATGAAAGTGGCTTAGGTATGTAAATAGGCTGCCATTATTTTCTTCTGAAGTTTAAGTTGTTCACAGAGCTTTAAGAAAGCATGGCTTAGGGGCCAGGCGCAGTGGCTCACGCCTATAATCCCAGCACTTTGGGAGGCTGAGGTGGGTGGATCACGAGGTCAAGAGATCGAGACCATCCTGGTCAACAAGGTGAAACCCCATCTCTACTAAAAAAATACAAAAATTAGCTGGGCATGGTGGCGCGCGCCGGTAGTCCCAGCTACTTGGGAGGCTGAAACAGGAGAATTGCTTGAACCCAGGAGGCGGAGGTTGCAGTGAGCCGAGATTGTGCCATTGAACTCCAGCCTGAGTAACAACAGCGAAACTCCATCTCAAAAAAAAAAAGAAAGAAAGCATGGCTTAATTTTCAGTAATTTCAAATCAGGAAAAATGGGGGGAAAGGAAAAAAAGAAGAAAAAATATTGCAAACATTATTTTGGAGACTTGTAGTCAGGAAAAATTTTAGAATTCAGTCTGTTAAAATGTATGCTCTGAATGAAGAGACCCCCAAACAGGCTTTGTGTGAGCAACATCTCTGTTTATTCACCCAGGTGCAGGTGGACTGAGGCTGAAAAGTGCGTCAGCGAAGGGCAGTGGGATACGTGTTGGTTTTGTGGGTTTGGGGTGGACAGTGGAAAGTTACAGTTTAGGGCAGTTTTTTGCAAACTGGGGTCATTGGTTTGCAAGCTGTGAGGGGGTTGTAGGGTGTGACATCACGAGGTTGGCCAGGTCCGCTACAAAGTCCAATAGCCTTGTCAATTGAGGCCGGAATAAGAAACAATGCAGAATGTCTCAAAGTTAAGTAGGTGCTGCAGGGATTGATCATTTCTTCCCCTTTTCATGGTCTTCCAGTTACTTAGACTTTCCAGGAACTCATCTGGAGTTTCCATGCAGGTCACCAAGGTTAACATGGCGTCCATGGCACCATCAGTCAGCCTAAAAGAACTGACACAGTCCAAACTGTAGAAAATAATAAAAATGAAGAACATTAGGCAAGACTAGACTCTAACAAGTGTACTATAGTTTATTTTGAAACATAACTTTTCTCTCTCCAGTCCTGTTTTCACTAAAGACAAGTCATAAGACAAATTGATTTGCAAAATATAATTTAGTCTTATTATACTTGGCTGGGTATTTTCAGCAAGAATAATTATTTGCCAAACAGGCTTCTCTTTTTTCTTTAATTGTCATTGCTGGAACTTTATTCCTTAAGGAATCGCAGATTCTATTGTAAAGCCTTAAGCCTAGCCTCTGCCTGCAAATACCTGTATTAATTGGGTGAATTCTTCAGCTTGAGTTCCTTGGGGCTCTGGGACTATCAGAAAGTCCCAGAGACATTCTTTATTATTTAGTAACTTCCTGAGGCGTTCTTCCTGCCCACTGCATAAAGAAAGACCATAACTCTGTAGTAGAAAAAGAGTTTAATAGACACATGGCCAGCCATGCCATGAAAAGAGATGAAGTTCGCACTCAAATCATCTCATTCAAACCTTGTAAGGTTAGAGGTTTTTCAAAGGCAGTTTTGGGGAAAGAGTGGGGGTGGCCAGGTAACAAGTGCTTGCTGCTGATTGGTTGGGGTGGAAATGAAATCACAAGCTTGCTCACAGGACGAGGGAAATTTGATGAGGGTGCAGCCTGCACTGAGATAAAAGGGCCTATGGTGAGATGAAACCAGGGAGGGATTACCCAAACAGGCCAAATATAGGAAGAAGAGCATGAAATCTGGTCAGAGAAGCTGCAGGTTAGAGCAAGATTCTGACATAAAAGGCAACATCTATAAATGAGAAATGGAATTGAAGTTGTAGGAAAATCAGTCGGTTTCCCCAGGGATAGAAAGCAGAGATTAGGAAGTGTTGGCTAGGATCCATCAGAGCCACATTGTGATGTAAGGCTGTAAGTGAATGGTTAATTGCGTCCAAGTGCATAGTACACATGAGCAAGAAGCCCCACAGTAATTAAATCTTGGGGGCTGGCCCAACAGGAGTGAGAGATAAAGGAATACTATACAGCACTGTGATTCCAGACACCGTTTCACCTTTCCAGCCCAGTATTCTCCTTGTGACAATCATGGCAAGAGCCATCATTCTCTAACCTTTTTTATTATTATTATTTTATCTTGTAGGGAAAGGAAAACTTCTCCTCTACCCTTGTAGATTCTTTAACTGAGACCTGCAAATTATATTGACAAAAAACAGATTAACAGGAGAAATCACACAAATTTTATCTGATGTTAACAATTTTACATGGCATCAGGGACTTCACAGACAAGAAGTGAAAACCCCAAAGAAATGGTTAGACCCAAAGGCTTATATACCATTTTAACCAAGGGCTGGATATTTTTGGAGAAGTGACAAGGCAAAGGGAAAGGGTATGGAATTCTAGGGCTAGCAAGTTGTGGGAAAGTGACTAGGGAGTATATGGGGAAAACTAATGAAAAATCAGGGTTACTTTAGGAAGGTTTGCTTGGCAAACTTATCTCAACATTGACTTCCCATCTCCAGTGATAAGAATGTTCTCTCCTTCCTGGGAAAACCTTTCTTATGGGAAATTTATGCCCTGCTTTTAGGTAGAAATGGGAAGAACCGACAGCTCTTTCTGAATCCGCTGCTTTTCAGTTGTCTTCAGATCAAAATAATCAACATGCTTAAGTGGCATATTTTTAGTGTGGCATGTTCAGATGCCTTTCAACCTCAAGAATGAGTTCTGTACAGAACTCTCGTTCACTTTTGGTGAGAATGTAAAATATTACAACCAGTTTAACAGTTTATTATTATTATTATTTTAGAGACAGAGTGTTGCCGTATTGCTCAGGGTGGAGTGCAGTGGTGCAATCATAGCTCACTGCAGCTTCCCACTCCTTGGCTTCCCAAGTAGCTGAAACTACAGGCATGTACCATCACATCCAGCTAATTGGTTAGACAGTTTCTTGTAATGTTAAGCACTCTCTACCCAAGACTTAGCCATCCCACTCCTGGGTATTTACCCAAGAAGAAAGAAAACATATGTCTACACAAAGACTTCTATACAAATGTTCCAAAGAGCATTATTCACAAAAGTCAAAAATCTGAAACAAATCAAGTATCCATCAACAACTGAGTGAACAAACAAGTTATAGTACATCCATACAATAAAATAGTACTCAGCAATGAACCATCGATACACACAATGCATTGATAAATTTTACAATTGTACTGTGTGACAGCAGCAGACACAAAGAATTCAAGTTATTTCTTAATTGCTAGCTATGAAAAAAAGAAGAATTCAAATTTTATTATTCCATTTATGTGAAATTCCACCATGGGAAAACTAGTCTGTAATAATGCAGAGCACTGGTTGCCCATGGCCAGGTGCGAAATGAATGTGGGATTACAAAGGGGCCCATGGCACTTTTAGGGTGAGGAAATGTTCATGTCTTGACTGTGGTGGTGGATACATAGGCCAAGACTTTTTCAAAACTCACTAAACTATAAACTCTTCTTTTTCTTTTTTGAAATGGAGTCTGGTTGAAAGTGTTGAAAGCAAAAAAAATGAGGAAAATATATGTGAGAAAATGCTAATCAATGGAAATATAGCATAGCTATAAATATTTTGATTAATTTGTTTTTAAGTAAATAACTATGAGGTAGATACTAGAAGTTCAAATATGAGAACAATAAGATCCTTGCCTGAAAATACGTAGAGTTTAGTAAGGATAACAAACAAAGAAACAGATCATTTATTCCACTTCAGAAGCAGACAAAAGATGACATTCACATTTTAGGAAGAAAATATAGTCCTGAAGCATAACTAGTCTATATTTACTTATTTTTCTTTTTTTTCTTATTATACTTTAAGTTCTGTAGTATATGTGCAGAACGTGCAGGTTTATGACATAGGTATACATGTGCTATGATGGTTTGCTGTACCCATCAACCCGTCATCTACAATAGGTATTTCTCCTAATGCTATTCCTCCCCTAGCCCTCCACCCCCCAACAGACCCCAGTGTGTGATGTTCCCCTCCCTGTGTCCATGTGTTCTCATTGTTCAAATCCCACTTATGAATGAGAACATTCGGTGTTTGGTTTTCTATTCCTGTGTTAGTTTGCTAAGAATGATGGTTTCCAGCTTCATCCATGTCCTTGCAAAGGACATTAACTCATCCTTTTTTATTGCTGCATAGTATTCCATGGTTATATGTGCCACATTTTCTTTATCCAGTCTGTCATTGGTGGGCATTTGGATTGGTTTCAAGTCTTTGCTATTCAACAATGCTGCAATAAACATACGTGTGTATGAGTCTTTATAGTAGAATGATTTATAATCTTTTGGATATATACCCAGTAATGGGATTGCTGGGTCAAATGGTATTTCTGGTTCTAGATCCTTGAGGAATCGCCACACTGTCTTCCACAATGGTTGAACTAATTTACACTCCCACCAACAGTGAAAAAGCATTCTTATTTCTCCACATCCTCTCCAGCATCTGTTGTTTCCTGACTCTTTAATGATTGCCATTCTAACTGGTATGAGATGGTATTTCATCGTGGTTTTGATTTGCATTTCTCTAATGACCAGTGATAATTAGCTTTCTTTCATATGTTTATTGGCCGCATAAATGTCTTCTTTTGAGAAGTGTCTGCTCATATCTTTTGCCCACTTTTTGATGGGGTTGTTTTTCTCTTGTAAATTTGTTTAAGTTCTTTGTAGATATTGGATATTAGCCCTTTGTCAGATGGATAAATTGCAAAAATTTTCTCCCATTCTGTAGGTTGCCTTTTCACTCTAATGATGGTTTCTTTTGCTGTGCAGAAGCTCTTTAATTTAATTAGATCCCATTTGTCAATTTTGGCTTTTGTTGCTATTGCTTTTTGTGTTTTAGTCACAAAGACTCTGCCCATGCCTATATCCCGAATGATACTGCCTAGGTTTTCTTCTAGGGTTTCTATGGTTTTATGTCTTAAGTTTAAGTCTTTAATCCTTCTTGAGTTAATTTTTGCATAACGTGTAAGGAAGGGGTCCAGTTTCAGTTTTCTGCATATGGCTAGCCAGTTTTCAAGACAGGGTAGCCCTGTTGCCCAGGCTGGAGTGCAATGATGCAATCATAGCTCACTGCAGCCTCAAACACAGAGGCTCAAGCTTTCCTTCTACTTCAGCCTCTGAGGAGGTGGGTCTACAGATATGCCCTACTATACCTGACTACTACTAAAAATGGTGCACTTGTACAGGGCACTTACCATGAGTGAAGCTTGCAGGACTGGAAGTTGCTCTGGGTGAGTCAGTGAGTGAGTGGTGAATGAATGTGAAGAGCTGGGACATTATGGTATACTACTGTAGACTTTATAAATACTGTATACTTAGGCCAGGCTATATTTATTTTTGTTTTATTTTCTTTCTTCAATAATAAATTAGCCTTAGCTTACTATAATGTTTTTACTTTATAAACTTTTTAATAATTTTTTTAACTTTTTGACTCTTTTATAAAAATGCTTACCTTAAAACACATTGTACAACTGTACAAAAATATTTATTTATATCCTTATTCAATAATCTCTTTCCTATTTTTAAATTTTTAATTTTTTTTACTTTTTAAACTTTTTTGTTTAAGACACAAACACATTAACCTAAACCTACTCAAGGTTAGGAACCTCAATATCACTGCCTTCCACCTCTACATCCTGTCCCTTTGGAAGGTCTTCAGGAGCAGTAACAATCATGGAGCTGTCATCTCCTTGGATAACAATGCCATCTGCTAGAATACTTCCTGAAGGACCTGCCTGTGGCTGTTTTACAGTTAAATTTATTTTATATAAGTAAAAGGCATATTTAAAAAATAATGATGGAAAGTATAGTAGAGTAAATACATAAACTAGAAACATTGTTGTTTATTATTATCATCAAGTATTATGTACTATACCTAACTGGATGTGCTATGCTTTTATACAACTCACAGCATAATACGTTTGTTTACACCAGCATCACCACGAACATGTGAGTAATGCATTGCATCACGATGTTGCCATGACTACAACACCACTAGGCAATAGGAATTTTTCAGCTCCAGTATAATCTTATGGCACCTCTGTCTAAATATGGTCCATCATTGACCTAAACATCACTATGTGGTGAACAATTGTATTTTTCTTTAACTGGCATAGTAGATAAATAGGGAAAGGAAGGACAATTCAAAAAATAGAGTTTAAAAATTTCACATAGATTGAAGGATCAAAATAATACTTTAAAAAACATCAAAAATGTGCAGATAAAATGTCTGTCTCTGATATTCAAATAGGAAGAATTTCTTACACAAGACCCAAAAAAGTCCTAGCCATAAGATAAAGTATTGAAAATTTAACTGCATTAAAATTAATATCGGTTCTTCAGAAGACACCTTAAGGAAAGTGAAAGGAAAAGCTGAAAAGTTAGAGCATATATTTGTAACCTTTATGACTGATAAGGGATTTTTTTTTTTTTTTTTGAGACAGTCTTGCTCCATTGTCAAGGCGGGAGTACAGTGGAACATTCTTGGCTCACTGCAATCTCCGACTCCCAGGTTTAAGTGATTCTCCTGCCTCCGCTTCCTGAGGTGCTGGGATTACAGGCATGCACCACCATGTCCAGCTAATTTTTGTATTTTTAGCAGAGATGGGGTTTCACCATGCTGGCCAGGATGGTCTTGATCTCTTGACCTCATAATCCGCCCACCTTGGCCTCCCAAAGTTCTGGGATTACAGGCGTGAGCCACTGCATCCAACTATATTGAAGTCCTTTTAAAAAAATAAAGAAGTCCCTCTCAAAAATAAATAATAGAAAACAACGTATAGAACCCAGCAGAAAACAACCTAATAGTAAAGCATACAGAGATATATTTTTTAATTCCTATATATTTCCAAGAAGTGCTGAAGGAACAGAGATTTTTTTTAAACAGGATTCAAATATATATGGCCACTAAACATATGAAGAGATTTCAAACTAATTAGTAATCAGGAAAATGCAAATTAAATACACAAATAGATACTATTAACTATCCATTCAACTTGGAAAAACTAAAACATGACAGAGTTTATTCATCATTGGGAATTTTTATATGCTGTTGGCATGTAAATTGGAACAGCCTCTTTGGAAAACAAGTTTGCATTATCTTGTAAGTATGAATATTCATATATCTTACAACCCAGCTGTCTTAATCTGCTCAGACTGACACACTGAAATGAGACAGAAAATATCACTGACTGGGATGTTTAAACAACAGAAATTTATTTTCCCACAGTTTTGGAAGTTGGAAGTCTGACAGCAGCAGGTGACAGCCCAGTCAGGTTCAACAAGGACTCTGTTCCTGCCTTGCACATGGTCACCTTCTCATCGTATCCTCACATGAGACTCAGAGAAAGACTCTTCGTACAAGGCCACAGGCTTCTTGGATTAGGGCCCCACTCTTAACAACCTCATTTAACCTTAATCTACTCCTAAAGACCTTATCTCAGTTACAGTCATACTGGGGGTTAGAACTCAACACAGAATTTTGGGGGGACAAAATTCAACCCATACCACTAACTCCCAGGTGCCTAAGAACACATACATAAAAGGATGTTTAAAGCACCAATTTTGATAATATCAACAAATTTGAATAAGCCACATGTCCACCAACAATAAAATGGAAAATAAATTTTGGTATATTTATACAAAATACTATTATACATCAGTGAAAATGAAGAATGAGCTGCTGCTCTGTGCAACAACATGAATACACATCAGTAAACTAAGGTTGAGAAGAAAAAAGAAAGTTCAAAAGACTACTACTTTCAGTATAATACGCTTTTTATTGAGCTCAAAAACTAGCAAAATTCAGCAATGTTTTGTTTAGTCATGCATATATATTTGAAATAAAACTATCATTTTTATGCCAATGAGACACACAAAAGTCAGGTAAGTAGTTATTTCTAAGGCAGGGGGCAGTAAGGCAGTGAAATACTGGTGGATATAACATATTGTCTCAAAAGCCAATTGTTAAATTTTTAAGACTTTCAAGAGCCCATTGTTAAACCATTGGTAGCTTGAAATCAGCCATGGTGGGAGTATTTACACCATGGAAATTGGCAAATACTGAAACCAAGAGGCTGGTTGTTAAACATTTACTAGCATACCACTGAATGTAAGCTGTTGCTAGTGTTCTAGTTCTTGGTTTGGGTAGGAGTTCTGTTCACTATTTTTTAAATGAATGAGGGTTATAGTTCTTAGTTTAGGGAGTAATGTTGGTTCATCATATTATTTAAAAAGAATGAATGAACAAAAACAAAGAGCTTCATGAGTGGACCCAAGAAGTCAGCATATCACGCACCAAGATATACGATTGTTACAATCGTGTACACCTATGGTAGGAAAAAAACAAAAAGAGCATTAAGTTCCCTCCATCTGAGGGATATCAAGTATCAAAAGAATCTCTGCTAATAAATGAGGTCAGTGTATACCTGGAAAATACAATCCCACTCTCTGAGAGCAACACACCAGCTTGCAGGAATGAGAGGATGGGCCCATCCAGTCCCATGGAGGTGAGTCTCCATGGCTCCCTCACCAAGCAAACCTCTCAGCCGTCAGACTCTAGGCCAGATAAAGTGCATGGTATGCCCCATGCAACAGTCGCAGAAGGAGCTGGGGCCATACTATCAGCACCCACCATGGGGTGGGTGGTCCTGGTTCTTGAGCCAAACTGAGTCCAGCCTCTAAAGGTAGTTCAGGCAAGAGGGGCAGCTAACACCAGTAACTCACATTATTTTCTGCCCCACCTTGGCATAAAGTTAACGAGGTTGGCCAGGCCTGCTGCTGTTAGAATTGAAGAAACCTGAAGGGGAAGGAGTTAGGAATGGACTAAAGTTAGCAAGTCAGAGAAAGAAGCTGCACTGACTACACAGTCATTTAAAAAATAATGAACAGAACTCCTACCCAAACCAAGAACTAGAACACTGGCAACAGCTTACATTCAGTGGTATGCTAGTAAATGTTTAACAACCAGCCTCTTGGTTTCAGTATTTGCCAATTTCCGTGGTGTAAATACTCCCACCATGGCTGATTACTCCCTAAACCACAGAAGGGAGGAAAGGCTAAAGGTGGGTGTAGAAACAAAGATGTGGGGTCAGAAATTAGAGAGCTGAGAGAAGAAAGTCTCATGCCAAATCAGCCAGAATGAGGGTAGTCTTGGGAACCCTGGCTCTTGGGAGCCCTGGAGACAGACAGGTGCTACATGTGACAGGTCACCTAGTGAGGGTGGCTCACTCTAAAGGAGTATCGGACAGGGTGGCCAACTAGTTGGTGGGGCCAGGTTCCCTTGATAACATATACCATGCGGAAATCAGGTCTGAAGCTTGAGATCTGTGATACTGTTGCTTTCAAGCTGTGTGGCAGCCATTCCTTACCACCCCAGTCTGAAACGGCCTCCAGGCAGAGGGGCCTTAATTGTGCTAAATTCCACGTAGAAAAGGAGTAAGACTCACAAAGCCTAAGTAAGGGGCTCAGGTTCCTGAAAACAGCTGACATTGGCAGAGAAAAATTGTGGGAGGCTGCCCACCAGCCTGCCCATGCCAGTCCATCTGCAGAAGGATGGGGTGGTAGCATCATAGGGCATGGCGCAGCTCTGCCCCATGAGGGAACCTTTAGTAAGTCCCAAGTCACACTTGCTGCAGAGTTATGGTAGCATGGGCTCCCCCTAGTGGTCCCCCCACAGTTTAAGCTGTAGCTGAGCTCCTTTCACATCAGCTGGTCACTGAGGAGGTGAGATGGATACATCAAACTACAGGTCCCAACTTTAATATGACCCTGGCATATGTGACCCTGATATTTTCAGGCAGGACTGTCAAGCATGTTACCAGGACAGCTAGGAAACCACATGTGATAATTAATCCTATGGGTCAACTTGACTGGGCCACAGGGTGCCCAACCATTATTTGGGAGTGTCTGTGAGGTTATTTGGAGATGAGACTAACATTTGAATGACGAGACTAGGTAAAGTGATTGCCTTTCCTAAGGGTGGCCTCATCCAATCAGTTGAGAACTTGAATAGAACAAAAAGGCTGACCCTCCTGTGAATAACAGGGACCTCCTCTTGCCTAACTGCTTCAAGCTGGGACATAGGTCTTTTCTAGCCTTTTGACTTGAATGGAAACATCGGCTCTTCTTGGTTCTCAAACCTGCCAGCTTTTGTTTGGAACTGATACCACTGGCTCTCCTGGGTCTCCAGATTGCTCACTGCAGATCTTGAGACTTCTTCCATAATTACAAAAGTCAATTCCTTCTAATAATCTCTTTCCATATATATCCTATTGATTCTGTTTTTCTGTAGAATCCTGACTAATACACTTGTACAATACATTTCCCATCTACATGGGGACAGTCTATTTTCTCTGTTCCCATACCTCTGCCCCTTTCCTGATGAAACCAGGCCCCAGAGAACTCTCAGACAGCTACTGAAAAGCTGGCATTTGGGATATATGCACTCTCATTCTGGCCAGTCAGCCTCCCAGAAAGACCACACCAACCGTCTCTACTCTCCTATTCTTGGGCTCATAATGTTGCTGGAGAAAAATCACAAGAGCTGGCCAGATCTTTGAGCTCTCCAGGCTCAATAGGTGCTCTCAAAATTGATCAATGCCTTCAACACCTCCTCCAAACACTCTCCATTCCCCCAAGGCTTACCCCTGCACTTGCACTGCCATTCTCTGCAGATCACCTTGCCTCAACTCACCTGAGAAAAATGTTGTTTGACAGGAGCTCCTGCAACTTCCCTCTCTCCCCAGTTCAAATTGTCTCTGCTTCTTCGTCCATCTTTCCACCCGGAGAGAAAGGTATTTAAGACGTCAATATAAGGGCAAAGTTACTGAAGGCAAAGTGTCCACACTAACTCAAATCAACACATATACAGGAGGTCCCTGGTCAGTTTGGTGTGCATGGTCAGTTTGGGACAGCAACACCTCTTCAACTGGATTCTGTCCTCTGGCCTTTTTCCCATGAGATGATCTCAATGGACTGGCCTTGACGCAGGCAGACCCCCACTAAGCACCCAAAAGGGAGGCCAGGGCCCAGATCAGTCTTTCCAGCATGCCCCTCGTCCTGTGCAAGACCATCTAGGCTTCTCATGTGGCTCCACATTTTACCCTGTATCATTCGATATTTTCTCACACTCACATTTGTATATTTAATATTTCTCTCTCTTCTATATCCTAGTCCTCAGTATAAAATATACTTGAAACATTTCCATTCTAAATTGTCTGCCTCTCAACCCTGCTCTTTCCCTATTTCCTTAAATGTCTCCTTTCTTTCTCAGACACCTTCCTGAAAGAAAGGCTGGCACTTGCTGCTTTCAGTTCAGACTGGCCATTCTCTCACACCAGATTCCTAGTTTCTGTGCCCACCCTACCCTCAGTCCCCCACTGGCGTTGCTCTACTAGGATTGCTACAGACTCCAGGTCATCAAATCCAAGAGTTACTTTTCAATCTCCTTCTGATTGGCTGTTCACCTGTGTTTTGGGGAACTAAAAGAAAGAATGCATGTCTATGTAGAGCATTTTCAGGGGAGCAGGATCATGTGAATTCTAATAATGGAAGATTTCTCCAAGGAGAAATCAACTCTTGGGCATAGAATCACGGCTAAGAAGTTCAACTTCACCTATCTACTTGCTAGCTGGATGCTAGGACTTGACCCAATTAAGGGAGTTGATGGGTTTTTGTTTTGTTTTTACAGGCAGATGTTATCAGCCCCATTATACCAAGAAGGAAATTGAGGCTAGGAAAAAAACTTGTAGATTGTCGCTAGTTACACAGTGGGTTAGGGTCAGAGCTCCCTCCTTCACATAGTGATGATAATCGCTATGACCTAATAACTACTGTACATCAGGTATGTGCTAAAAGCTTGACAAGGCAGTACCTCATATAATCTCCCAAAGTACAAACTAGTGTATACAGCTTACAACTCTACTTGAATGTCTAATGGATATCTCAAAGGTGACATATCCAGAAATGAAATCAGGATCTTTTCCCCAAAACCTGTTCCACCTACAGCTTTTGCTCTCAATTGATGGTGACGTCATCCTACTAATCGCTCAGTACAAAAAAAAATTGCAGTCCTCCTTGACTCCTCTCTTTGACACCTCACATACAATTTTTCAGGAAACCCTATTGTCATTACCTTCAAAACAGATCCATAATCTTCCTGCTTCTCAGAACTTCTATTGCTACCAGCCTGGTCCCAGCCATCATCATCTCTCACTTGGATTACCTAGTGGCCTCCCAGCCGGTCTCCCTGCTTTTCCCTTTCTCACCTTCCTCTTCCTAACTCCCCCCACTCCCCAGACTATTCTCAAAGCAGCCGGAGAAATACAGCTAAGTTCTCCTTCTTGCTCATTGCAGCCTCAAGCTCCTGGGCTCAAACAATCGTTCTGCCTCGGTCTCCCAAAGTGCTGGGATTACAGGGGTGAGCCACCGCGCCCGGCCTTAAAATGCTTTTTTTTAAGGCACTTTGATTTCCATGATCTAAGTCTAAAACACGAATTTCCACCACCGCGCTGCTGTCTGGTTCCACCTGGCGGCGGCTGCACAAAGTGTTTCTCTTTGAACGCCGTGCCAAGTTTACCCGGAACTACTTAGCCCAGCTCTCCCTGAGTGCTCCTCGGGCCAAAAGCAAACAGCACAAATTCCGGAAGAAATTACCAACAGCGGGACCATTTAGCGCTCCGGCTGTAACACCAGTAACCAATAAACAAAAAGCTCTAGTTCACGTGGTGTATAGTCAGCCTATCAAGCTCCTGATATTCCTGAATGCCCTCGTTTCCGCTCCTGTCGCATTCTTTCTCGACAAGATGGCCACGCCGGCGGTATCACCAAGTGCTCCTCCTGCCACGCCAGCTCCGGCCCCGGTGGCGGCCCCAGTCTCGGCCCCAACCTCAGTTCCAGCCCCAGCGCCAACGCCAGCACAAGCTGCGGCTCCGCCTTCCGCTGGGACTCCAGCCTCATCCTCAGACTCTGCGGCAGCAGCGGCTACGACTGCGGCTCCTGGCCAGACTTCGGCCTCAGCGCAAGCTCCGGCGCAGACCCCAGCGCCCGCTCTGCCCGGTCCGGCTCTCCCAGGGCCCTTCCCCGGCGGCCGCGTGGTCAGGCTGCACCCAGTCATTTTGGCCTCCATTGTGGACAGCTACGAGCGACGCAACGAGGGTGCTGCCCGAGTTATCGGGACCCTGCTGGGTGAGTGGTCATAGAAAGTTAACATTCTTTACTTTCTCCCACTTCTCATTTATCTCACTTCCCTATCTCATTAATTCTTTCATTCTTGGCGTTCTTTCCTCCCATCCCCAGTGACCTCTTAATCTATTTTTCTGTTTTGTCTTCTGCTGTGACTTCTCAAGTGATTTGCTCCTCTCCTCTCTCTTCTCTCTTCTCTCTCCTGCCGGATTGCTGTCACTTTGAGTGACGTAAAATAACAAAGAGTAATTGTGTCATTTGCTGAATATTTTATGCCAGTGGTTTACATTTTTGAATGTTCCCCACAGCAGGTTATGGCAAGTATGATGAGCCCCATCTGCCAAAAATGAGTGCACATGCTGAGTGGGAAGTCAGGAACCCTTGACTCCCTAAATCCAGTGACCACGTATTTCTGCTTTATCCACCGACTAAATGTCATTGTTTTCCAAGTATTGACAGAGTTTTCTAACCAATTGGCAAAGGAGTGGGGACATTTGCAAAAAGGCATTCCTCCCAGCAAGTAAACCGGTTTGGCTGGAACCCATTTGGGATTTTATAGTATTCTGCTGTCCTAAACTTTTGAGCCTGATTCTCTGATTCTCAGCATACCTTAATATTAGTACCTAATGTGAGAAACCCTGTTCTCCCATTTTCCATTTGGACACAAACTATTGTATTATCTGTTTATATCTCTGCCCTTAATTTTCAGGTCAAAGAATAACCCATTCTCTGCTTGTGTTCCAAATTTGGGGAATAGATACTCTGTATTAAAGTAGTTTGTAAAATGAAAAAGCACGAAAGAGGGATTGTTGATAATTCCTCTCTGGAGACTATACTGATCCCATGAAATCCATCTCCATTCCATGTTAGTTCCAGATTTTTTATTTATTTTTTAGTAGAGACAGGGTTTCTGCGTGTTGGTCAGGCTAGTCTCAAACTCCCAACCTCAGGTGATCTGCCTGCCTCGGCTTCCCAGGGTGCTGGGATTACAGGTGTGAGCCACTGCACCTGGCCAGTTCCAGATTTTAAATAGCTTTGTGAATCCACTTTACTTACAAGCATCCTTTCTCTTTCATACTCTTGAACATGTACTGGTTCTTACACCATAAAAGACAATTGATATATTGCAAAGCAGACAAGATGTGTAAGCAGACTCCACACAATTTTAGCCATGTGACTTGACGCAAATTACCTAAAATCTGTTCTGTCAGGATCTACTTTAGACTTAGTCTTCGTGAGAACTAAATTAAAAACTTCTGACTATGCTGGTACACATTAGGTACAGCTATTAGTTGCCATTCACCACATCAGGCCTGGACCGACCCAATACATGCCAAAACACATTTTCTCTCCTTTATCTATTTTTGACAGTATAGCATTTTACAGAAACTTAAATTCATATCTTCTGAACGTTGCCTGTCTTTTCTCAAACCAAGCCTTTGTGTTCTCTTTGCCACAGGTGCCTTCCTTGCTGTCCCTCATTTATTTAACTTCTGCCTATCTCCCAGGTTCCCAGGAACAGCATTAAGTGCCAGTCCTCCATCCCATACCTGGACCCTCACTCCATTCTTAACCTTCCACAGCATGATGGTGTTCTGTAACTGCGCCCTGCTTTGAGCTTCTGTAATAAATTGTTTTTCCTCACTGACCTGGCACTCAGCAAATACTTACTCTTTTGGTTACACTGTCTCATTTTCCAAGCTCACTAGAGCTATTTAAAGAGACAGTTCGCTACCCACAGTTTATACTTTAGCACCCCAAATGTTCCAGTGATCCAATCAGACCAGCTGTAATCTAATCTAGAGCTTCAGATCTTCTTTCAGACTGGAATCATGGTACAGTGCTATAGGTGTTATAGGGGCAGTGCTTCCAGAAGAATAAAGAATAGATTCTGCTTGCTATAAACTAAGAGTTTCCTTAGATATTAATTCACAAAACATTTTATTTGTCTAAATGAAGTCATTGGTGCTTTTTTTGTACCATAAAACTGTTAGGTATTTAGAATTCAAAGTGTAGTAAGGTAAGCTCTCCTGTAACCTTAAACTCAAGATAGAAATATACTCTTAAATGCAAATAACTAGAATGTAATATAATAAATGTTCTAATAGAAGGGTGTCATGGTGGCATGGAACTACGGAAGACTTAACTATTTCAGAAGGTTAGGGAAAAGTTCACAAAAAAGATGGTGTTTGAGCTGGGCATTAAAGCAACTACAGGAAGTTAAAAAGGCCTGATAAGCCCACTATCTGAAACATTCAGTATTACAGGAATGTAGGTGACAGGAGGTAGAGCAGGAAATGAAGCTAGCAGAGGGCAGAGCCCTAAGAAGTATTGAATAATTACAAGTGTAAAGTGCTGTGAAGGAGAATTACCTGGGTCTCTGAGAAGACAAAATGGAAGTGTAACCTCATTTGATGCTCTTTGGGGAGGATCCTGAGCATTTCAGCTAACACTGAATAGAAATTAGAAATCACTCTGACTTTGGGAGGCTGAGGCGGGCAGATTGCCTGAGCTCAGGAGTTCGAGACCAGCCTAGGCAACATGGTGAAACCCTGTCTCTACTAAAATACAAAAAAGAAAAAGCCAGGCGTGGTGGTGTGCACCTGTAGTCCCAGCTCTTGGGGAGGCTGAAGCAGAAGAATTGCAAGAACCTGGGAGGGAGGTTGCAGTGAGCTGAGATTGCACCACTGCCCTCCAGCCTGGGCAACAGAGCGAGACTCCGTCTCAAAAAAAAAAAAAAGTCACTCTGGCTGCTTTGTAGAGCATGGATAAGAGACAGGCATGAGCTGGGCATGGGTACCAGATAGCAGCTATTCTAGTAATAGGGAAGCACTTGAGAAATAGGGATAGATAGGAAGTGGGTGAGTTGAGAGATAGGAAATACAGTTGATAGGACTTGGTGTGATCAGAAGTGAGCAATTAGAGAGTAGAAAGTATGAAGCATGACTTCTATATCTATGGTTAAATGTGGAGGAAGAAAGGGAAGGTAGAAGTTGACTTCAGTCTGGGATATATTTGTTTTTAGATGCCCAGTGAGCGTTCTGGTGGAGTTGTCAAGTAGAAAATTGAATATAAAGGTCTGGAGTACAAAAGAGATGTAGGCAAGTATGTCAGTTTAGGAACTATGTTATTGGAATATAGAAGGTAATTGAACCATCAAATTGGATGAGATCATCTAAAGCAGGGATTGGCAAACTTTCTATAAAGGGCCAGACAGTAAATATTTTAGGCTTTGTGTGCAGTCTCTGTCACAACTACTTAATTCTGCCTTTGTAGCAAGAAAACAGCCTTTAAAAAAGGTTGGCATGTAAACTTTATTCACAAAAAAACATTTCTAGATCAGGGCCTGGCCTAGAAGAGGAACATTGAGTAAAAAGATAGAAGAACAAAGACAAAACCCCAAAAACTTGAAAAGTCAGCGGAAGGAGTAGTCAACAAAGAAGATTAGAAAGGTGGGTAGAAAACTGGAAGGAAAGTTTTAAGATGGAAGAAATAAGTGGTCAGGCCTGTTCAATGCTGATAAGAGGTCAAATAAGATAAAGGATATATGTGCATTTGGTTTAGGTACATAGTTTCAGCAAAGGGAACAGAAACCATAGTGAATTGGAATTAGACAAACACTGGTAGATACAGACAACATGGTGGTTTTTGGTGGAGAGGGAAACCCTTGAATCCTGGGGTGGGAGTTTCCAGTAGATTAAAAGAGAATGGAAAAGCCAACTTAGTGGTCTTAGTGAGGTCAAGAAATAAATGTAGTGGGAATAAAAGTAAAAACAAACCAAAAAAGAAATAACAGGCTGGGCGCAGTGGCTCACGCCTGTAATCCCAGCACTTTGGGAGGCTGAGGCAGGCGGATCACTTGAGGTCAGGAGTTCAAGACCAGCCTGGCCAACATGTGAAACATAATCTCTTCTAAAAATACAAAAATTAGCCAGGCATGATCGCATGTGTCTGTAGTCCCAGCTACTTGGGAAGCTAAGGCAGGAGAACCTCTTGAACCCAGGAGGCAGAGGTTGCAGTAAGCCAAGATCGTGCCACTGCCCTCCAGCCTGGGTGACAGAGCAAGACTCTGTCTCAGAAAAAAAAGAAATATAGTGGGAATGAAGGTATCGGAACTAGAAAAGTGTGTGGTAAAAGACTGACATGCTTGCATCTAAGGTTAGCAGATAGGTTTCTGGATGATGGTAAGGTTAAGGCTATGACTGTGGGACCAGATGGCTAAAGGAAGGTACAGATGAAGCTCACAGCATCTCAGTGTCTGAAACTTTGACACTGTATCAGCAGTCTGTGTAGCCATTAAAATCTTCCAGGTAGTTCTGCAGATTAAATTACAGGGTGAAAGTCTAGAAGCTGAAAAACAAAGGTCATAGAGTGAACATCTGAAATAGGCTAGCAGTGGAAATAACAGGCAAAAGGAGACCTTGTAAAGGAAGAATAAACCATATTTGGTGACGTTTAGAGGGAAAAGTTGGCGAACATGCCAGAGTTTCAGTTCCTTGGAAAATTCTGGTCCCATTGATGCACTGGACTAAACTTGGAGCTAATGAGTTCAGTTAGGTGTTTATTGAGATTGAAGAAAGCATCAAAAGCATTTCAAAAGTAGTTGGAGGTTGTTGGGAGCCCTAGCATTATATAACACGTGGACAATTCTCTCTTTCACAGGAACGGTCGACAAACACTCAGTGGAGGTCACCAATTGCTTTTCAGTGCCGCACAATGAGTCAGAAGATGAAGTGAGTGGGAATCCAAGCTGTCCCTCTGCTGTTTTCAGCTGTTCATTTGCTAGGTTCCCCTCATGGCCCCTCCTATACTATATATTGACTCATAACTAGAGCTCCTATAGCCAAGGAGCTTCCTATTGTACGTTACTTCCTGGGCCTCTTCTGGTTATTGGGGGTGGCTTTTTGTCCCTTTTAACCAGTCTTTCTTTGGACTTCCAGCTTCTTAGCTTGCTTTCCTGCCTTCCTTCTTAGGTGGCTGTTGACATGGAATTTGCTAAGAACATGTATGAACTGCATAAAAAAGTTTCTCCAAATGAGCTCATCCTGGGCTGGTAAGTTGGGGAGGTGGGGGCTGTGGCAAATGGAACGTCTCTCTGTGATTGCCAATGTCTTTTGCCACCAGACTAGATCTTATCCTCTTCCTTTTGGAGACGGAGTATTGCAAGTGTATTACTGGCTGCAAGCAGTGGCTCGGTGCCTGTAATCCCAGCTAGGAGGCTGAGGCAGGAGGATCACTTGAGCCTGGTAGTTAAAGATCAGCCTGAGCAAAATAGTGAGACCCTGTGTCTACAAAAACATTTTTGAAAAACTTAGCCAGGCATGGTGACACACACCTCTAGTCCTAGCTACTTAGGAGGCTGAGGCTAGAGGATCACTTGAGGCCAGGAATTTGAAGCTGTAGTGACCTATGATTATGCTGCTGCACTCCAGCCTGAGGACAGATTGAGACCCTGTCTCAAAAAAAAAAAAAAAAAAAGTGTTACCTGTAGGAGCTATGAATTGAGTGGGTTTTGCTGGCAGTTCCGATCCTCTGGGGCAAGGATATTTATTTTGAGTCACCTTGTAAGAGACTTGAAATTTTTCAAAAGCACTCAGCCTTTGATTTGATTTGACATAGTTTTCTATGTGTATATTGTTCTTGGCATTTGGTATCACTAGGTATCCCTACCATAGCGATATCAGATATCATAAGGACACCCTTGCCACTGCTATGTTTGATATTGATGTCAGATATAGACATGAGTCCACAACTGTGTTCCATTTTGCAGGTACGCTACAGGCCATGACATCACAGAGCACTCTGTGCTGATCCATGAGTACTACAGCCGGGAGGCTCCCAACCCCATCCACCTCACTGTGGACACTAGTCTCCAGAACGGCCGCATGAGCATCAAAGCCTATGTCAGGTGACCACAGACTTTGGCCACAAGGGCATAAAACCATGCCTAGATGCCATCCCTCCCCCACCCCAAGCAAGGTTAATTCCTTCTGTGTGGAACTTGCTGTGTCCTTAAGAAGCCTATTCCTCTCTCTCAACAGTTATTCAAAAAGTTTGACTTGAAACAAAATCTGTTCCTATGATTTGTATCTGCTGATCCTACTTATACTCCAGTTTCTACTCATTGCTCTTAACCAGTCTCAAATGATAGCCCTTTTAAGTATTTGAGCAAGCGATCAAGTCATCTTCTATAGAACTCAACTATCCATAGTTCTTACAGCCAGTCATCACATGGTATTCTTGTCATAATCCTTCACCACATTCATTACTTTTCTGAATTACCCATTAGTTTATCATCATCTCTAGAACTCAGCACAGTACTCAGGGTAATACCGATTAAAAGATGACTGTACTTATTTTGAACACATTTATTAACCCAGGATTGAGTGCAGTTTTAATGACAATAACATTACAGTTAACACATTGAGCTTGCAGGTGGTTAAAATGCCAGTTATGGAGGATGCTAGGAAAGGCCCTGGAGGCATGCTGAAGAAGCAGCTGTGGGAGTTGGAAAGACTGGTCAGAGGGAAGACATCTGTTAGTGCATCTTTTAGGCTGTTGGCATTGTGCTGGTTCTATGTCTGACGCTGATATAGCCAGTTTACTCTTAGGCGGTAAGACAAAGATGGTGGATGCCAAGTCTTTATGAGCCAGTTGGCATACCACTGAGCACTAGCCATTGCTTGACTTCTTAGCCTTTCCAAGTATTTCAGACTCCTCAAGATTATGTGTGTGTGTGTGTGTGTGTGTGTGTGTGTGTGTGTGTGTATTTTCCAACAATATCCCAGGAGCAGGGGACTACCAGGTTGCCTAAGGAGGGGTGAACCGGCCTAGGTTGGAAATGGAGCAGGTCAAAACTCCTATGCTGATGAGTAGTGGGATTGCACCTGTGAATAGCCACTGCATTCCAGCCTGGGCAATGTAGCAAGACCTCGTCTCAAAAAAAAAAAAAAAAAAAGATCCAACTCTATATATCTACATGTAGATAGATACAGATATATATCGTTGACATACTAAAGTATAGATCCAGGTATGTGATTGACAAAGACGATACCTTTAGTGAAATTACTTACTGCACCCAGTCTAATTTGGTGAACAGGAGTTGGTTTCCTTTTTCAATGCTGATGAAGGGCTTAGTCCCAGAAAAGACTTGTCTCTGTCTTCCTTCCATGGTGAGCAGGTATCTGAACAGCCAGCTCCACAGAGTAGTTGAGTTCTGTCCTCTGATCACTGATACTGCACAGTGTGTGAAGTAATCCTCTGAAGGGACCAGGCCAAGTCCAAAGGTTGAGTCCCCTCTTACAGGCCAAGGGTTTGGCATGTGGGACAAGCTAAAGGGAGAAAGTAACTTTTGCACCTGTGAGACCTCTGGGGTCAGTTGGTCCCACCCGTCCTACCTCAGAACCTTGGGAGCCATATTCCTGCTGTGTCTGCTTTCTTAGCCCAGAACAGACATGGAAACCCTCTCCCAAGGCCATCTGTTTACTTCGGCTTCTCCTTCCTCAGCACTTTAATGGGTGTCCCCGGGAGGACCATGGGAGTGATGTTCACACCTCTGACAGTGAAATATGCATACTATGACACTGAACGAATTGGAGGTGAGTAAAGGTTTCCATACACTCTTCAGACATCTTAGGAATTTTCAGGGAAGGGGGCTGCTGTTCTGTAACAAGGATGGAGGCCTTGGGTGGTTTAAAAAGGGACTATTGATCTAAGCTTTGTGAAGATTAGAAGTCACAGTCCTCTCTTGTATAAATGAGATTTAAGGAATTATTTGAGAAACTGTTAAAGGTGGGAAATTACCAGTACCAGAGGCCACGTGACCATTCACATGCAACCAAAACCATTGATGAGCATACCAGGTGAAAGGAGTTGAGCTTTGTTAGGAGGAACAAAAGCTGATAAGGGCACTGCAGGGAATGTGACTGAGCAGACTGAGTCTAAGGGGAGGTAGGAAGCAGAGTTAGCAGGATGTTAGGACCATCTCTTTCCTAGTGGGATGACTGAATTCTGTCTGTCTCTAACTGACCGCCACTGCCATCCTGCCAACCACATTCCACAGTTGACCTGATCATGAAGACCTGCTTTAGTCCCAACCGAGTGATTGGACTCTCAAGTGACTTGCAGCAAGTAGGAGGGGCATCAGCTCGCATCCAGGATGCCCTGAGCACGGTGTTGCAATACGCAGAGGATGTACTGGTGAGAGGGGAAAGAAAAAACAAAGGGGAGGACATAGGTCTCCATCCTGGAATCACTGAGGCACGTGCTGATGAAATGGTTGTGCTCAGTGGTTATAATTAACTGCCTCATTGAGTCTTTGTTTTCATGATCAGTCTGGAAAGGTGTCAGCTGACAATACTGTGGGCCGATTCCTGATGAGCCTGGTTAACCAAGTACCTAAAATAGTTCCTGATGACTTTGAGACCATGCTCAACAGCAACATCAATGTGAGTGCCCTTCCCAAGCCCTTGCTTGCCTGGTTTCTTCCCCCACCTCAGCACATATACTCAAATGTGAAGAGAGTTGGGTGAGGTGTCCTGGAGTATGATAGAGACAGGGCTTCAATTATATAACCCCCATGAAGTCCAAGGTGGGAGGAAGGAAGAGCTGTGGTACACATGGTTGAAGATTTTCTTCCTTCTCCCTTGATTGCATTGTCCCAGTTACTGGTGATACTACTGTGACTTAGTGTCTAAATTTGTGATGAAAGAAAAACTAAAATTCAGAGGTTAATGAAAATGCAGTTACTTATTTTCTTCATTTGATTCACAGACCTGCTATATTCCATCCATGGGTCTCAGCTGAGGTACCCCTAGTCTATAATTATATCAGTAGAGATAAGAAAGTCTTCTCAAGCATTTCCTTTCTGTCTTCTACCTTTTGACTCTTACACAGTCTCTCCTAGCTGTCATTTATTCATGACTGTCCTTGGAGTGTCCACCATGGAGCTGGCCAAAGCCAGCCTTTGTGTTCCCTCTCCATCCAACCCCTCGCTGATTTTGTATTCTTTGTCTTCCAGGACCTGCTGATGGTGACCTACCTGGCCAACCTCACACAGTCACAGATTGCCCTCAATGAGAAACTCGTAAACCTGTGAATGGGCCCCGGGCAGTATACCTGCCGGTTTAGGTCTCAAGCCCAGGACTCAGAAGTGAAGGAGAAATGGGTTTTTTGTGGTCTTGAGTCACACTGAGACAGTCAACTGCCTGTGACTCTAATAAACATAGCCTACCTTTTCTAAATTAGTTTCATCTTACGTGAGTTTATTGCCGGGTGGAAGGGAGGAAAATGTTTTAGATCACACAGAAACCAGGAAGTGACTATTAGAGGTGGAGAAGTTGGTTATGTGTTTGGCATGTTAGTGCTTTACCAAACTGTTCTTTTGGTTTTCAATATGGAAAGGTCCATTGGCAAAACAATCTTTTCTTGAGGATTCATGTGATTTCTACAGGAAATAAAAATAAGAATCCATGGAGAAAAAATACCTGAGAAAATTGGATGCTTAATCTGAACTAATAGAGTAGAGTATGTAGTCACTATCTTAAAATACATTAATAGTTAGATGGAGCTGTTTGCCACTTTGGTTCAGGGAGGCAGAATTAAGATCTGTGGGTTTAAGATGAAAGAGATTTCCCCAAAACTTCAGAAAATTCTTAGGTGCTGTCTGTAACGTGAGAGCACAGTGTTGGGTTATATTGAGGTCTGCTAGTGGCTCAATTTAAGCAAAGACTAGATGGCATTTCCCAGGGACCTTGTAGGCTAGAGTACTTGTCTGTGTAACTTCAGACATCCCTTTCATCTGCCACCTTGCCACTCTGTCTTAGAAAGAAGTCATTATTCAAGGACTGAGGAAATTACATACTGGAGTGGAAAGGTGAATGAAGGCAACGGAGAATCAAAGCCTGGATCCTAGTTCTGAGTTGTGTGTTGCCTTAGCAAAGATAAATTATAAGAGTTAAAAGATGTGCATCATTAATATAGCCCATTAGGGTATTAGGAGGATTCAATTAATTAATAAATGTCAGGTTAATCAACACTTGCGGAGAATAGTTCCTGGTATGTAGTAAGCACAGATAGGTGGTAGATGGTATGATGTCTGAAGCTGAATAGTTTGAAAGTAATAAGCAACATGAACCCCAGCCTGGAACTCAGTTCTGAGATCTGTAACGTTAGGAAATACAAGTTATGGGAATCATAAAGTGTAGATAGTAATGATACTTTCTTATAGGTAGGGAAATGTCAACAGAGGTTATCTGCAAAATGATAATTAATGACAGGCCAAATTGTGAGGTTCAACAAGAGACAAGGGATATTTGTGACCTTACAATGACCTTGGTATGTAGGGCCAGGCAGGGAGGGCAGATCAGCTCACAAAATCTCAAATCTCCTTTTTTGAACAATGATATTTTTATTGTTATGAGTAGTATTTATTTTCAAGGATTGGAAAATAATAGAAAAAGGAAGAAAATCGAAATAATTCAAATTTGCCCTCAACAATCATTATTGTTAACTTGTCCTGCCAGTCCCTTTTCTCTGCAAATAACTTTTTAAAACAATGTTTTGAATTTTGTATTTTGTCTTTTTTTAAGCTAAACATTTTAGAATGATCATTATCCAGGTGATTAAATCTTAAAAAACCTTATTTTAAATAGTTTTATGGGTTCCTACGATACGGGTAAACTATGATTTACTTAAGTGATTTTCTAGTGTTGGGCATATGGGATCTTTCTGATTTTGTGCTAATAGGTATCTTCCATGGTCAGCAGCTGTGTGCAGACATGAATGTGTGAGTTTCTGCTTCTTTAGGTCAATCTCTCCCCTTCTCTGTGTCATACTTTGTGAACTGGGAAGCTCACATCTTGCTGCTCAACCTCCAGGTTTGAAGGAGACCATCATGAAAATCCACCTTTGGCTCTCCATGCCCCCCTTCCACAGGATTCAGACACTTACGGAGGCAGCGCATGGCAAGATGACAGGGGACCAGAGACAATATTACCCCAGGGCCTCCAAAGCCCATACCATAAACCTCCTCACTCCTCCATTGCCAGAGCCAGAGCCCTCATGAAAATAACTCAAATTAACTTTTGAAGAGCAAATGAGCTTCTAGGGACATGGGAATCTGATTGCTGTTCCCTTTTCCCACCCACAATCTATGGCCCATCCTGAGCCTGTGGGGTGCTTGAAGGCAAGTGAGTCCTTGACCTCTGCTGAAATCCTGAGAGAGAATTATCTTAGGGTTTTGTTCCTAGTGGGCCAGGAGGAGGGTCCTGGGAAGCCAGTACAGAGGGTCTCTAGCAAGGACCAGAAAGCTGTAAAGCTGGGAAGAATGTGGTCCACAGAGATCTGTGAAGGGAAGCATGTGCGGGGATTTTACTGGATTCTTGCTCTGACAAGGATTGAACAGGTAAACAGTCTTCCTCTCCCGGAGATAGGACAGTGTAATGAGACAAGGGCTTCAGCAGGGTATTGGCAGCTGCCTTGTTCTATCCCACCCATCCCGGATAGAGAAACCACTTTCCCTCCCAACACCCAGAGAGCTCCCAACAGCTGCCAAACTCAGTCCCACCAGGCTTCACTCCACTCTCCTTAGAACATCGAGGAATCAGTTCTTACTGAAAATATAGTTGATGCAACCTGTAACTATGACTCCAGGTTCTGAGCATATCTGATGAAGAAACTGGCATTTTTCCCACATACTATAGTCAGCATTTCCAGAGGTGTTCAAAGAGAACCCAAGTTGTTTAAGATGGGAATCTAATTGCCAGCAGTGACTTGCTTCTCATTGCAAAAGTCTAGGAACCCATACGTACTCAGTAATGCAAGTCCATGCAAGCTGACAAAATTCCGGTTGTCCCCCTTATCACCAGCAATGTCTCCCAGAAGGCAAGCAGTTGCCTGTGACAGTGATCTCAGATGTGAATTAGATGTTTGTCCCACGAGTGATCTCAGCTGTGAATTAGATGTTTGTCCCACGATAGTTTGTCTGATCCATCTTGTGTGTCACTCCCGTGAAGTATTTTCCATCTCGTTAGGGTCTTCCAGTCCTTTGCTTATGTTTCTGTCCCATGCTGATGGTCATCAGTTTTGTAATGGTCTCTGTCCCACAGTGTTGGTCCCAACCATGGTAACAGGCCACCAGTCTCAGGAGCATTGCTCTATGCCAGAGGCTTTCTGAGTCATGGCCACTAGAGGACACCCTTACACCACTAAAAGGCCAAAGGTTGCCCATGGCATTCCCATAGTTCCTGGGCTGTTTTCTGAGGGCCTGCCCAGAAAAAGCACCTTCTGCTTTAGAGATGCCAGGATGATGCACACAAAAAAAAAAGCGACCAGCGCTTTCAGAGCTGCCTCCCTTGGCCAACTTTGAGCCATAGAGTGATGAAATCAATGCATCTTCCTCTATCCCCAGCCCCCAAAACCACTCCAAATAAACACATAATATTTCTAAATGTGGCTTGATAACACAGTTTCAAGTAAATCTACTAGGGCTCACTCCCCTTCCAATCTGATTCTAAGCCACAAACCCCTCTATACAGAAATTCTGGAGCTGCTGTTGCCCAGGAGAAGCCCTAGCCCAGGACCTGACAACCAAAATGAGGTTTCTGGAGCTTTCCTTCCAGGGAGAGAGTGATGCTTGTAAGTGAACCTGGCCTTTCCACATGGTACTAGAGTTCTAGAAAGGGAAGTGAGGGACTCTTGCCAAATTCTGGAGGTTAGAGAAGAGAGAGATACAAGATAGGGTCCTGTTCAACTATCCCACTAAAATCACTTTATTGATTAGAAGTGCAAGGGATAGACAGAGCCCAGATTTAGATCTAAAAATTCAGCTGGAGGCAGAACATAGTTTGGGTCCCCTTGCAACAATGCGTGACAAAGACTCGGGGGAAAATAGTTTATGTGTGAGGTGATCTGCCTGCCACTACTATGGTTACCATAATAAGTACAACATTCCACCCTTATCCATGTGGGATCCACTCCAAGACCCCCAGTGGATACCTGAAGCCATGGTTGGTACCAAACTCTATATATACTGTGCTTTTTCCTAAACATATATGCCTATGATGAAGTTTAATTTATAAATTAGGCACAGTAAGAGATTAGCAACAATAATATAAAATAGAACAATTACAATATACTGTAATAAAAGTCATATGAATGTGGTGTCTCTCTCCCTCCCAAAATACCTTACTGTACTGCATGTAACTGCAACTGCAGAAAGCAAAACCATGGATAAACCATGAAGAAGAGGGTGCTGTTGTAGCATAAACTTGGTGGCTTGAGACAACAGAAACCTATTTTTTCACGGTCTTGGAGGCTAGAAGTCTTGAGAACAAGGAAAGATCTTTGCTGCCCCAAAGCTTTTATTTTATTTTATTTTAATTTTTTTAAGACACAGACTGACGCTGTCGCCCAAGCTGGAGTGCAGTGGCAGGATCTCAGCTCACTGCAAACTTTGCCTCCTGGGTTCAGGTGACTCTCCTGCCTCAGCCTCCTGAGTAGCTGGGATTACAGGCATGAGCTACCTGCCCAGCTAATTTTGTATTTTTAGTAGATACAGGGTTTCACCATGTAGGCCAGGCTGGGCTTGAACTCCTGACCTCAAGTAATTCACCCGCCTTGGCCGGTCAAAGTGCTGGGATTACAGGCGTGAGCCAGCACCCAGTCCCCAAAGCCTTTAGAAGAGGATCCTACCTTGCCTCTCCCAGCTTCTGGTAGCCCCAGGCATTCCTTGGCTTTCAGTTACAGCATTTAGGTCTCTGTGGTCACGTGGTATTCTCTTGCATCCATGTCCAAATGTCTCTCTTATAAGATCACTTGTTATTTTAGGTTATGGCCCACCCTAACGAGCCCATTTTACCTTGATTACATCTGCAAAGACCCTGTTTCCAAATAAGGTTTCACAGGTACCAAGGGTTAGGATTTTTTTTTTCATTTGAGACAGAGTATCATTCTGTTGCCAGGCTGGAGTACAGTGGCGCGATATCAGCTCAATGCCACCTCTGTCTCCTGGGTCCAAGTGATTCTTGTGCCTCAGCCTCCCAAGTAGCTAATATTACAGGCACGCACCATCACACCCAACTAATTTTGTATTTTTAGTAGAGATGGAGATTCAACATGTTGGCCAGGATGGTCTCAATCTCCTGACCTCATAATCCTCATGCCTCGGCCTCCCAAAGTGCTAGGATTACAGGCATGAGCCACCGTGCCCGGCCAGGACTTCAACATATCTTTTGAGGGGGACAAA